TGGCTTTCCCTTATATGATACTTTTCTCTGGCTGTTTTTAGAGTTCTCTCTTTGTCTTTGACTTTTGACAATTTGACCTTAATTTGCCTTGGGGAGGAATTTTAGGCTGTATCTATTTGGGAAATTTTGAGCTTCCTGGATCTGGATGTCCATATGTCTCCCCAGACTTGGGAAGTTTCCAGCTATTATTTTGTTAAATAGGTTTTCAACATATTTTCCCTTCTCTTCTCCTTCTGGAAGTCCCATAATACAAATATTTGTTCACTTAATAGTAATAATTGTAGGCTTTCTTCACTCTTTTTCATTCTTATTTCTTTTTTCTTTCTCTGACTGGGTAATTTCAAATGGCCTATCTTCAAGTTCAGAGATTAGTTTTTCTGCTTGATTAATAAGTCTGCTGGTGAAGCTCTCTATTGTATTTCTATTTCATTCATTGAATTCTTCAGCTGCAGGGTTTCTGTCTGCTTCTTTTTTATGACTTCCATCTCTTTGTTGAATTTCTCATTCATATGGGGATTTGTTTTCCTGATTTTGTTGAACTGTCAATCGAATTTTCTTGTCTTGTTGAGTTTCCTTAAGATCATTATTTTAAATTCCTTTCCTGGCAATTAGTTAATTTCCTTTCTTCAGTGTCTGTTACTAGAGAGTTATATTCCTTCAGTAGTGCCATATTTCCTTGCTTTATCATGTTTCTTGTGTACCTGCATTGATGTCTGTGTACTTGGTGGAATAACTGCCTCTTCCAAACTTTCTAGAGTGGCTTTTATAGAGGAAGATTTTCACCTGTAGTTGAAATTTTGTGTGCTCATTGGGATGGATGTGGCGACATTGTTTCCAGATAGGTGAAATGGTATAGTCTCTGTGCAGTTTCTTTAACTGTGTTCAACATCAGCAATACCTGTGGGCACCTCAGTGGCCTTGGCTGTAGAAAGTTTGTGAGAGCAGCAGCAGCGGCATATGTTATTAATGTCCTTGAAGTTGAGGGCTTTTGGAGTCCTCCTACTCTTGTTTTCCCCACAATGGGGAAACTTAGCTGAGGGGGATCCCTCTTGGTGTCAGGTCTGACATGGCCTATAAGCAGCTGCAGTGGCACTGGGTTCCAGGTGCAGTTGCTCAGAGCAGGTGTGGGGTTAGGGTCCTAAGCACAGGATCTCCCAAACTTATTGTGGCTCCTGAGTCTTGGGGTGCAGGTTTGGTTTCTGTGGCAAGGTTGGGTGTAGGTTGCCCATAGAGACACGATCTGTGACTCTGAGGCACGTCCTAGCAGCTTGAGCCCAGGATGCTGGGCTGTAGCTGTGATTTTACCCCTGGGGGGCAGGGCACAGCACTGGCCTGACTCCAGAGAGGAAGCTTGCTGTGGAGGTTTGGGCCCAGGAGGAGGATATGGTTGCAATATGGGAACCTAAACAAATAAAACTCAAAGGCAACTCAGGTCTCAGGGCATGAGGCACTGTGTAGTAGTGACACAAGACCATGGAATGGTGGGGCTCAGCATTATCCAAGACACTGTAAGACCAGGTACAATGGCAGCAAGTAACCCAGAAAAGCAGAGCACAGCTGTTCTTCGGGCCTTAGGAAGTACAAGGAAAAGAATAGCAGTGACAATACTTTCCAGGGAGAGGGGTATTTCAGCCACTCAGACTCTAGGGGTCTAGTACAGCTCCAGAGAAGCCAGGTACTAGAGTTGTTTGGACTGTAAGGCAGAGTTCCTTAGTTCAGCCAATGCTCTGTTTCCTTGGGACACAGGTTACGACATCAACTCAGCACTGGGTTGTGTAGCAGCTCAGTTTGGCCAGGGTACCAATTCCCAGAGGGCAATGTGCTGCTTCAGTTCAGGGCTGGGGGTGGCCAAGGCACCATTTCTTGGGATGCAGGGAGTTTCTTCAACTTAGGCACTGAGGAGGAATGACTGCTTTGAGTGGCCAATGAATTGTTTTTCTAGGAGGCAAAGTACTGTCTCAGCTTTGGCCCAAGGGAATGAGGGGAGAGGGAGATGGAGTGACTCCACCTCCACTTGGCCTCATGTGGAAGAGTGCTTGCAGCTCCGCTTGGGGATGCTGGGCCACTGGCCTGAGATGGTTTGGTGGTGGCTTAGCCCCAGGGATGAAGGGGTGTCGTGACTACTCACCCCTGAGAAAGACACACTCCAGCCGTAGTTCCAATCCCAAGTTGGTGTAGTGCAGTAGCCACATGTGCCACAAGGGTCAGGGCACTGTGTCAGCTTCTTCTCTGGGGAGAGCACAGGTATGTGGTCTAGAGGCAGCTCCCTCAGCTGGGCTTAATGCCTGTGAGGACTGCAGGGGACCCTAGTAGTGAGCTGTGTAGGTGTCCAGGGTTGTCGATGGGGGCTGCTGGGATCCTTTTGCTTACTTTCACTTCATAGGTAGAAGTTCTTCCCAGTTCCCACCTGATCCTGGTTGGGGGATGGGGTAGTGGAGACCTGGCATTGCCTTCTGTTCTCTATGTGGCCATCTTGAGTTTCTGTGCTCACCAGGATTTCTGCTACTCCTCTGAGGCAAGATGGCACTCTCCCTCAGTTATTTTTCTTAATGTAGTTGTTTATTTGTTGTTCTGGCTTGTCTTTGTGAGGGAAACAGGCCCTAAGGGCTTCTAGTTGGCCATCTTGCTGATGTTACCGAAATAAATGTTTCTAAAATGTTTTAATTATAAAAGAGTTAAATGTCCTATTGAAATAGAAATGAACATATTCAAGCAAATTTAGTCATTCAAATAGAAAATTAAAAGGCAAACCCAATAATGTTAATAGCTATCCTATGAAAAGTAATGGAGAAAAAATTACTTATTCCATTAAATTCAACAATGCAGACAGGTCACATGTTCTATAGCTTTTATTTGTGATGTTTCTGCCCAAAAAGATTAGGTTGTATCAGACAGGAATGAAAGGGGAAATGAGGCTGGGTGCAGTGGCTCACACCTGTAATCCCAGAACTTTGGGAGACTGAGGCAGAAGGATCTCTTGAGCCCAGGAATTTAAGACCAGCCTGGACAACATAGTGAGACCCTGTCTTAAAAAAAATAGCCAGGCATGGTGGCACCGTCTATAGTCTTAGTTACTCAGGAGGCTGACATGGGAGGATCATTTGAACCTGGGAGATAGAGGCTGGAGTGAGCCATGATTATGCCATTGCACTCCAGCCTTGGCAATAGAGTGAGCTCTTGTCTCTAAAAAAAAGGTTGGGGGGGAAGGGGGATGACAGACTAAAAGTTTCAAGTTTCCTCTTCCATATAGAAATCTTCCATTTTGAGGACACCAGCAGAAACCTTTCTAAAAACTTCTAATCCTATGATTTTATGCTACTTAAATCCCAATTTTAAATCTTGGACAAAGAAGCAATAAGAGTAGAGCAAAACAAGCAAACAAACAAAAGAGCTGTTTGAAGATTTGCCAATAAGTTATTAGCAATGCTTGAAATTTAGAATCATCTTCCTTTTTAAAGAGGATAAATCTGCTTTTCTTCTTCCATACTGCCATCAGCTCAGCAATCATCTCCTCAGACCAAATGGCTACCAATATGTGTTTATTGAGAGTCATTTTGTATAAGCCTGCCCTTGGAGAGAATAATTATTCTTGTTTGCAGACATTTTTATCTGGCAGCAGATTCTGCCTCCTCATTGCTATCCTTATTCTCATTTGCTGGGCTTAATCCTTCATATTTTATGCTATCTATCTGTCCCTATTGCTATACCTTACTCATATATATGATTCCATATAATTCCATGTAATTGGATTCCATATCATCTAATCTATGGGACTTCCTTATAACATTACCCTTAGGTTCCTTAAATTCTAAGATTCATCATATCTAAAGCCTTCATTTTACAAACAAGGAGACTTGGGTCTATGGAGGTTAAGGAACTTGCCAAAGATCACAGGATCATTTAGTGAAGATCCAGTATTGGAACCCAGCTGCTATAACTACTGTCTAGTGTTCTCTGTAGGATGTGGCTTTGTGTTACGAAATTTGCCCATCTTATAAGTGAAAATCACATCATTATGTCTTTTGGAATTTCATTAAGTAAATTCTCTTTGGATATATCGTAAGACAAGCCAGGTAGTATAATGTAAAATTTGTAGAAGACACAGTTACTGAAGAGAACATGACAATTGATAAACTTAGGAACATTTGAAGCTCAACCAATACAATGATTTTTGAAAGGGCTGAAGAACTTAACTAACCTTGACAGTTCTTTCCCTTGTTTACTATATACTTTAAAAACTGAAAATCTGGTACACCAAAGTTAGCCAGCTAAATCTTTAAACCCAGTGAAGAGAAAAATAATTTAAATTAAGATCTAATAAAATGAAGAAAGGAATTTATCATACTGGAATGAGAATTTTAGTGGCTTTTGACTGGTAAATATTGGTCATAAGAGACAAATATAATACATAAAAAGTCACTAAGGAGAATAAGAAGTTAGTAAATTGAAGAGAAATTTGTAAGCCAGTGAAGACAAAGAGATAAAACAAGAAGAGAGAACAAGCAGAACTGTGGAATGGCTTGGGTTCTTTTAATCTTAAAAGTGAGAGTAGCCAGGTATACAGAAGGAATATAACTATATAGATTTAAGATTTTGGACAAAGCATTCTGCAACATATTCCACTTCTGACTGTGCTGACAAATGCATAAGTCTTCTAATATTTTCACATCCTTGCCAACACTTGTTATTTTCCACTTAAAAGATTAGAGCCAGAGTTGGGCACAGTTGGCAGGTACCTGTAGTTACAGCTGCTCAGGAGGCTGAGGTGGGAGGATCACTGGATCCCAGGACTTAGAGCCCAGCCTGGGCAACACAGTGAGACTCCCATCTCTATTTTTAGAAATTAAAAATAAATAAGATAAATGTATAGCCATACTAGGAGACATGAAGGGTTATCTCGTGGCTTTAGCATAACCAGTATTTTAACTGTATATGTGTACTGGGAAACTTGAAGCCAAGTTAATTACCACAATTTAAATAAGAACATTCTTATATTTTACCTTTCTTCATAGATTCTTTTTCCATTCCCTCCTTGTATGTGTATAAGAGTTCATCAACTTCCTTCAGATCCAGGAAGCCTGAGCCATCACTGTCCCACTTCTGAAAGATGGCTTCTAGAAGAAGCCTCCGTCGGACTTGGAAAGCATTTTGGCTAAACTGGGATACAAACAGGATAATAAAGCACAGAAGATACATGTTCATTGTGCTAGTGTTTATTCCTAAAAAAGTCCAGCATCTTTTATTAAAACAGGTTTACTTTGGGGCTAAGCATGATATTAACGGAAAATGCAGTGATTCAGCAGTGGTGCATGCCTGTAAATCCAGCCGCTCAGGAGGCTGAGGCAGGAGTATCACTTGAGGCCGGGAGTTGGATACCAGCCTGAGCAACATAGCAAGACCTCAGTCTTAAAAAAATTTTTTTTTCAATTTTTTAGAAAAGAAAATGCAGTGATTAATTTTAATCCCTTAAATACCATTTCTCTGTTTTACCTCTAGGCCAAAACAAAAACAAAAACAAAAACAAAAACAAAACAAAACAGACATTCTTGTTTGGTCCCATGGTAGGGGGTTTTCAGAACTTATTAACATTAGTGTCAACTAAAGTTGGTATACAACCTCCCACTGCTAAACTTGACTGGCTTTGAAGAAAAAGAACAACAACAGGCATTCTCTGCATTAGTATTCCTTAAGAATCATTTGTGTGTGTGTGTGTGTGTGTGTGTGTGCAAATTTCTTCTACAAACCTTAAGAATCTTTGACCATTCTTTTCCACTCCTTCTCTAGTTGTTCAGGAATGTGATAAATACACAGAGTGCTCTGCCTGACTTCTTAGTGGGATTTTAAAATTATTATTATTTTTATCTAGAGACAGAGTCTTGCTGTGTCACCCAGGATGGAATAGAGTGGCATAATTACAGCTCACTGTAACTTCAAATTCCTGAGCCCAAGAGATTTTCCCTCCTCAGCCTCCCAAAGCACTGGAATTACAAGCATGAGCCACTGCACCTGGCCCTAAGGAATATGTTTTGAGTGAAGGGGAATGAATGGCAGTGTTTAAATAATGAAAAATGGCTGTGTTTTAAAAATTCTTTTTTTATATTTAAGATTGATTATATTTGACATTAATTTTATTTATCTTTTAGAGTTTTCACTAGGCTAATTATATTAGCGAGATAGTAATTGAATTAATGTCTAGATAGATCTAATTACAAAAATAAAATGAATATATACCTTTTGATTAAGTAGGAGGAACTGGAATTGAGAAGGTAAAGGGAATTGTCTAGAATTAGGCTGAAAAGACTCATAGGGCTGATGATTACTGAAAAAGCTTAGTGAAAGTAATTGACATATTTCATGTAAGAGACAAGAAATTGTTCATATAAGCTAATGTGTCACCCAAGTAAGTAGTAAGTTCTTAGGAAATATGTACTACCTGGGTGCTCATGAGTAAAAATATATACTCAGCCATAATCATACCCCAGGTGTGTGTACTCATAAAGACACTCACACACAGGCGTATAATGCACACACACACATCTTTGCATATATCCATATCTGCTTGTCAACCTTCAGAGAAAGAATAAAGCTGTACAATAAACCATCTCCTGCCAGAAGCAATCATGTTATTATTAAGGGAATGAGTTCTCTGGGGTGTGATCTTAGAATATTTGATGATAAAATAGAATCTTTAACGGCTATGCTTGTTGAAATAAAGTGATCAGTTTGGTTGTACATTTTTTAACATGAGCCATATCAGGAGCAACTGAGGTTGAGAGATTTGCTTATAATAGTGACCTCATTTGTATTATTAATAAATAATACTACCCACCTGTTCTAAGGCATTCATTTTCTCTTGTTCTGTTTCAACATAGCCCTCCTTAAAAAAGGAGGTGAGAGTCTCGCTGACACTCAAGGGAGCATCTTCACCAACAAATGTCTCCAGGAGTTGCACAAACTGGAGCAGATTGAATGAAACTCCATTGAAGGCAGTTCTGCCTTTTACCTCCTTGCAGGACTGAATATTTCTGATAATTGAGTGTAAATCTATCAAGCAGAAAACATTACCAAACAGTAAAGTGAACAAGTCTTTCAGTTAGGGAAAATAAATGAGTGCCTATTGTAATCAATATCTGCTATTTTTGCCTGTCAGGAATCCATGCTCCCTTCAGGAGGACAGCATCCTCCTTTTTTCTTTGGAAAAAACATCTCTCCATTGTCAGTTCAGATGAGTCAGGTCATACTGTGCCTCCCACTCTGGTGCCATGGATGGTCATGTGATATACGTCCAGCTAACAATTCATATATGATAGCAATGTAACCTACTATAGGCCAATGAGAGTTAGCCTTAGAACTTTTGGAAGAACTATTAGGGACGAATCATTCTTTTTGTACTCTGATTGCTGAACTAGTAGAATATAAGCTTAGAGATGCTTTCATGGCCATTTTTGTCACAGCATGGAGAAAACTGTCTCAAATTGAAAGTGACACAGAAAAACAGGGCTCAGAGGCAGACAGACAGTATCCTGTTGCTATTGTTGAGCCTTTGAATCTAGTTGTGCCTGAAAACAGCTGCACTCTGAACTTTCTAGTTAAATAAATTACTAAATACCACCACCACAACTCCTTTCTCCAAGAGTCTTGACTACTATATTTACCTTTTAGCTCAATAGTATAATATGAAGTACATTTCATAAAATGTCAGCAAAGTGACTTCCATTTGATTTATTCATTGATTCAATCATTCATGCCCTTCTATATGAGATTTGATGTGACAAACAAATGATTACTCACAATTTTTATATACATCGGTAAAGCAAAATTGATATAAAGATGACTAAGAAGAACAACATGAATTAGCAGGCTGCAAGAGCTTGACCAATGCCATGCATTTTCACCAGAAAATTTGAGAATAGAAAGTTTGTTATTTGAGGCTTAAATGAGAGAAAAATTTGCAGGTAGGAAGAAGATAATCTTGATCTAATTTAGTTCTACAACTTGTTGATGTGAAAGCCAAAACAATATAATAGGATTTTAGTGAAATATGAGTGCTTTTGGAACAATCATTGTTAAAGACATGCTTTCTCTGAAAGCCAGAAACTACTCTGCTCTGCTGAGTAGATCTTTCTTTGTAAGTCTTCAAAAGCAAGATAAGATTCTCACTTGTCTCATATGTTTAGATGTGGCCCTACCAGAGAAAGGCATAGCTGAAATGATTTCTATTGAGTTTTAGTATCTAGTATCTGATTTTCTCTGTATGCTTAGATCATAGCTTTAAAGTGGTGGTAGGGTCATATCATGGTTAAAAAATGTATACTAATACGATAAGTTTCAAAGCAGAAGAGCACTCATCAATAGCACATTCCACCATCAACAGTACACCACCACCAAATACATCTATCTGGTATATATTTAGATTCACCAGCTTACGGACAAAATAATGCAAGGAACACCTTCCCATTCTGCCTTAGCTAAATGCAGTCTTTATCATCGAGTACCAGAGTAAATTAAATCCATCTATTGGACTGCCATCTATTCTTCCTACTTTCATTGTTAACATGTACCTGCGAACCTGGAGTTACCATAGATTAAGTTTGCCTGTTCCTCATCTTCAAATGTGACATACTTCATCTTCCAGTTGCAAGTAAAAAATTCACCTGTAAAAACACATTCCATAACGCAGCCAATCAAACTTCACTTTCACAATATTTTTGTTCTAGGGTATAAATGAAAGGAGGATTAAATGAGGAGTTACCTGACCATGACTTTCCTTCTATTTTTTGGGACTTGGGTTCACAGGACTTGTCTTTCTGAACTTCCTTTTTTGTAGTTTCTAAAAGGTACAAATGAAAATGCTTATGAATTAGACATTACATATTCCATTAGCTATTCTAAGGTTAATAAGTGATAGAAATGCCTTGCATATAGAACACAAAAAACTCTAAGTACTTTCCCATATATGTAGTGTTGTAATCAACCACAGTGAATAAATTAATAACTTGAATTGTTGAAAGCAGCTCTGTAGCAAAAGCTATTATTGTATCCAATTTGGCCATGCAAAATGAGGGCTATATTTCCCAGCCACCCTCACAGCTAGGTATTACTATACAGTAGCCCTCTTTTTATACTTGGGAGGATATGTTCCAAGATCCCTAGTGAATGCCTGAAACTGAAGATAGTACATATACTTTTGCAGTTTGAGGTGTGACAGAAAAACTAGCATGAGTTTCTTTTTCCTTCTTCACAATTTAATAAGTAAAAGATTTGTTCTTACTGTACATTTTAACAACCCCAGAATACAATTTTCTTTCTTTCCTAAGTTGAGAACTTTCATCCCTCCCTCCCTCCCTCCCTCCCTCCCTCCCTTCCTTCCTTCCTTCCTTCCTCTCTCTCTCTCTCTCTTCTTTCTGATAGGGTTTCACTTTGTTGCTTAGGCTGGATGGAGTGCAGTGGTGCAATCATGGCTTATTGCAGGCTCAACCTCCTGAGGTTCAGGTGATCCTCCCACCTCAGCCTCCTGTGTAGCCAAGACTACAGGTGCATGCCACTATGCCCAGCTAATTTTTTTTTGAGATGGCGTTTTGCCATGTTGCTCAGGCTGGTCTTGAACTCCTGGGCTTAAGCAATCCACCTGCCTCAGCCTCTCAAAGTGCTGGGATTACAGGCATGAGCCACCGTGCCCAGCTGAGAACTTTCACATTTTCACTTCAAAGGTAGCACTTTATGCCTTCTCTTTGGCATATCCAAATTGCCAGCATCATTACTCTTGTGACTGGAGCCATTATTAGGTAAAATAAGGGTTACTTGAACAAGAGTACTGCAACATAATGACAATCTGATAATCCAGCAGCTATTAAGTGACTAATGAGCAGGTAACATAGACAACATGGACATACTGAACAAAAGGTGCAAGATTTCATTATACTACTCAGAATGGTGCACAATTTAAAATGTATGAATTGTTTATTTCTAGAATTTCCATGTAATACTTTCTGACTGTGGTTGATTGCGGTTTACTGAAACTGTGGAAAGCAAAACCATGGATAAGGGAGAACTACTGTATGCCTAAATTCTGACCAAAGACATGAGAATAAATATTTGAAATTCAGGGTGCATTCTGTCTTAAATATGACTTTCAGAAACTCTTCTAGAACATATATTTTATATTTAACTGAAAAAAGTGAGACCCATTTACAGTTGAAATAAAAGAAAAATTTTAAAATGGTTTCTAGTATCAGACATTACATTTAAAACAAAAGGCCTTCTCCTACCTTTCCAGAAACCCAATTAAAACACTTCTATAATCTAGTACAATGGAAATTATACGTAAATTGACAATAGAGACATTCTGGTTTGCATTTCACTGGTGAATGTAATTAACTTAATTGATTATTGTTCAAGGTCTAGACTCATGTTGAGCAGCAAAATATGCCTGAGATTTGCATGACCTGATATGCCAGAAAAAAAATTCTGACTTAAATGAGTATTTTCTGAAAAGACTTCAAAAACCATTCCATGAAACAGGGAGCCGATGTTGTAGAAGAACTGCATTACTACCTGAAAAGTGATCTTTTCTACTTAATGTTGGAACTTCCTCTTGCAGTTCAGAACTCAGGAATACTTCCTCTTCATATGCTTGTTCCCAAGACCTCTTTTCCTGTAGAGGGACTTCAATGTACTCAGAGGGTATAGGCTCCCCATATTTTGTACTTTTTAAGATACTATCTTTTCTTGATTGTGAAGTTGAGTCTTTTTGCTCTTCTGAAATTATCTCTTCATAAGGTGCTTGTTCTGATTTTTGGTATGGTTCTTCTATTATTGACTCTCTGAGTGATTCCTGTTCTGCAGTTGACATTCTGCGTGATCCTTGTTCTGCTACTGACCCTTTGCGTCGATCTTTTTCTGCAGTTGACTCTCTGCGTGACCCCTGTTCTGCAACTGACTCTCTGCGTGACCCCTGTTCTGCAATAGACTCTCTGCGTGACCGCTGTTCTGCAACTGACTCTCTGCGTGCCCCTTGTTCTGAAACTGACACTCTGCGTGGTCCTTGTCCTTCTATTGACCCTTTTTGCTGTCCTTGTTCTGTAGTTGACTCTCTGTGTGTTTCTTGTTCTGTTACTATCCCTCTACTTGACTCTTGTTCTAGAGTTGACTCTGTGTGGGTTCCTGGTTCTATTACTGATTCTGTGTACAGTTCTTGTTCTGCAGTTGACTTTTTGCCTTGTTCTTCAGTTGAAATTCTTTGTGGTCCTTGTTCTGCAGTTACTCCTCTCCACTGTTCTGGTGGGTTTGGTGGTGTTGTTGATGTTCTCTGTTCATCAAGTTTAGGTTGATCTGGACTTTCTAATAATTTACTTTGGGTTTTGCTAGCATGTTTTGCAGAAAGTAATGTATTCATCTCTAAGAGCACTTCGTCAAAACCTTCATAAATGTGTTTCTGATTATCCATGTCTCCCCACAACTCAGTCAAGTTTATCTCTTCAAATTCAATGAATGGCCCTAATGCAGAAAACAAAATATTCACTTAAACCATTGATCTTATAATGCAGAATTAGAGCTATTAAATTAATGCAAAGAAAAGCATTGAGCACAGAGATTGTAATATAGACCTATTGCTCTAAATAAATATCAGTTATCTTTGGTTGCAACACAATAAAAAGTAAAAAGGTATCCAAAAGAACTTATACTACTAAGTTAGAAATCATCCCTTCCTAATAGGTGTGATTTTGGAAATAAACAGGATTCTCCTTTTGCTACTTGGAGTGTTGCTTAGACTGCCAAGGCCAATAGAATTTGTCCTCTACCTTTGTAGTCCCCTACAATAAGCATCGCATAGGGATGGGAAAGGGGACACATCTTTCATCTCAAATATATTTTCAATATCTGCAATATAAAAAGCAAGTCTTTATCCATGACAATCTTTCACTGAGGCTATATTTTTCCAGCATTCATTTTCCCCCCTATCTCTTTCCCTCTTCTATGTTCTTCATTCCTCAGTTATTTTCCTCTACAACTTATATGGGCACCTGGAACAGAATACTAGGGAAAGACTGGATAGTATTCACAGAATCCCACTGTTAAACAACGACAATAAAACCCTGGTGTCTGTACTATAAAGAGTGGAAATCATGCCACAAGACTGTCCCCGTTTCTCCCAAAACAGTAGTGGTAAGCTATAAAATTGTGATTCTCACAATTTTCAGAAATACTCCAAGTATATCACCCACAGATTTGTAAGTATCCAAGTAATAAATCTTCACACAAAAATAAAATATTGACATTCTTGGCCAGGTGTGGTGGCTCAATGCCTGTAATCCCAGCACTTTGGGAGCCAAGGCAGGTGGATACCTGAGGTCAGGAGTTTGAGATCAGCCTGCCCAACATGGTGAAACCCCGTCTCTACTAAAAATACAAAAAAAATAGCTGCGTGTAGTGGCGGGCACCTGTAATCCCAGATACTTGGGAGGATAAGGCAGGGATAATCGCTTGAACCCGGGAGGCAGAGGTTGCAGTTAGCTGAGATTGCGCCATTGCACTCCAGCCTGGGCAACAGAGTAAGACTGTCTCAAAAAAAAAAAAAAAAAAAAAAAAAAAAAAAGACATTCTTTGAGAAACTCAGCCAGTATGATACCTTCTCTTTAAAAAAAAAAATGAAAAAAGCTGAGCACAGTGGCACATGCCTGTAGTCCTGGCTACTCTGGAGCCTGAGGCAGGAGGATTGCTGGATCCCAGGAGTTTGAAGCCAGCCTGGGCAACATAGCAAGACCCCATCTCTGAAAAAGTAAAATAAAATAAAAACCCCATAATTCTATTTGTCTTGGAAATAACATAAAAAGGACATTTTACTGTATAAGTAAAGGTACACAAGTAAAAATGCTTGGGAAAAGGAAATATTATTCTTATAAATCTTATAATTTTAAGTTGGGTATTGGGTGCAGTGGCTTACACATATAATCCCAGCACCCAGGCATTTGAGACTATCCTTGGAAACAGGGTGAAACCCTCTCTCTATTAAAAATACAAAAAATTAGCTGGGCATGGTGGTATACACCTGTAGTCCCAGCTACTCAGGGGGCTGAGGTGGGAGAATCATCTCCCACCTGGGAGGTTGAGGCTGCAGTGAGTCATGATCATGCCACTGCACTCCAGCCTGGGCAAGAAGAGTAAGATTCTGTCTCAAAAAAATTTTTTTGTTGATAAAATGGAATTACCATTACAAACTTAATTTCCAAAACATTCAGACTGTCACTAGAGCATTTCTTCATTTGCATGAATTTAAAATTGAGTTCTCACTGAGTTCTGATATAAAATTTTTGAGTATTGCACTGTGGTGAAAAATACATCTAGTTGTGATGAAGAGTGAATTTTGTGGAGGAAATAAACAACTAGATACAGTTATCATGATCTAAGAAAGCTATTATGTGAAGGGATTCCATGGTGGTAGAATAATCTTGTGTTATCATATCAGTGTATCATATCAGTACATATCAAGTGACACTTCAGCTTGAACATACTCCCTCTGAGTGGCACTTACATTGTCGTGGGTTTCGAAGTAAACTCCTAAGCATTTGTGAACTATGGTCATAGAACAATTCCAGCAAGGCCAATGTCCTCTGCCGATCCAAAAACCCTACCTAAGCAAAGAAGAAAGTTTGTGATTAGTTGTTACAGGAGATTTAAGATTTTTATGCAGTTGGAACGTGGCTTATTGAAGCTTTCATCATCACTACCACCACAACAATCATTATCGTGTAAGTAAAAGCTGCAGCATCAAAATCAGGAAAGTTATATCTTGCCTTTAGGCTTATACTCTACTTTCTCATTCTATGACATGTCAAAATGACCTCTACTTAGTAAATGTTTAAGAACTATTTGTGACTGACTTATTGTTGGCTAAATCCAATGTATAATGTTCAGTTCTTATCTTACCTGACCTGAGTATGTCACTTGAAACAATTAACTGCACCCTACTTGTTCTTTTTCCATTGTTATTTTTGAAAAACTTTTTAATAATAGAATATAGAAAATGATAGAATTAACATATGTGTTCCCAACACCTAGAAATAATAATTGTTAACATTTTGTGTATGTGCTTTAAAAAGTCCGATATAGCAACACAGTGAGACCCCCATTGCTTCAAAAAGTAAAAAATTAGCCAGGCATAGTGGTGCACACCTGTAGTCCTAGCTACTCCAGAGGCTGAGGCCAGAGGATTGCTTGATTTGCAATGAGCTATGATCATGTCACTGCACTCCAGCCTGGCTGACAGAGCAAGACCTTGTCTCAAAAACAAAAACAAAAATACCTGATATCGGCCAGGCGCGATGGCTCATGACTGTAATCCCAGCACTTTGGGAGGCCGAGGTGGGTGGATCACCTAAGGTTGGGAGTTCAAGACCAGCCTGACCAACATGGAGAAACCCTGTCTCTACTAAAAATACAAAAATTAGCCAGGCATGGTGATGGGTGCCTGTAATCCCAGCTACTCGGGAGGCTGAGGCAGGAGAATCACTTGAACCCAGGAGGCGGAGGTTGCGGTGAGCAGAGATCATGCCATTGCACTCCAGCCTGGGCAATAAGAGCAAAACTCCATCTAAAAAAAAAAAAAAAAAAAAAAAAAAACCTGATACAGTACATATGTCTTTCTTCAAATTGCTTTTATTTACTTAACATTGAGATCTAATTCATATCTGTAAAGAAATATATTTTATTCTTTTTAACTGCAATAAGGCATTCTGTAATATGAAAACACCATAATAATAATAAAAAAAAAACTCCTCTATTGATGGGCGTTTTCATTATTTTTAGTATTTTGATATCAACATAATGCTGCAATAGATATCCTTATACACAGCTCCTTGTGTACATATGCAAACATTTCTCTAGGGTAAATAACTAGAAGTGGAATTACTGGATTGTATAATATATGCACTTTCAACTTTATTAGTTATAGCCAAATTGCTTCACAAAATGTTAATACCAATTTACATTCTTGCCAGCATTGAATGACAGTATTATTTCTCCATATCTACATCAATGCTTGATATTATTAGAGTTTATTATTTTTTCTAATCTGATAGATAAAAATGGTATCATTATTATCAATTTGCATTTCCCTGATTACTAGTGAGATTTAATATATTCTCATGTGCTTATTATATGTTTGGGTTTTTCATCTTCTATGAATGGCTTTTTCATATCCTTTTCTCATTTTTCAGTTGGGACCAGTTGCATATTTCTTTTTTTGAGATGGAGTCCCACTCTGTTTCCAGGCTGGAGTACAGTGGCGCGATCTCGGCTCACTGCAACCTCCACCTCCTGGGTTCAAGCGATTCTCCTGCCTCAGCCTCCCGAGTAGCTGGGGCTACAGATGCCTGCCAGCACGCCTGGCTAAACTTTTTGTCTTTTTAGTAGAGATGCAGTTTCACCGTGTTAGCCAAGATGGTCTCGATCTCCTGACCTCGTGATCCGCCCACCTCGGCCTCCCAAAGTGCTGGGATTACAGGTGTGAGCCACTGCGCTCCACCCAGTTGTCTACTTCTTATGGATTTGTAAAATTTTGAGAATGACCATTCTTTTATTTACATAGCAAATATTTTTCCCCAGTTTATCTCATCTTTCAATTTAACTTTTGGTGAGTTTAGCCATATCAACGTTATCCATTAATTTTGAGGATATACATTAATTTTGAGGTAGTCAAACATATAAATCATTTCTCTTTGATATACAGTAAAAAATCAGTGAATGATATTGGGACAATTACTTTTTCATATTGGGAAAAACATAAAAGTAGATCCCACCCTCATTAATGAGAAAAGTGAGTTCTATCTGATCAGAAACCTAGCTGTGGAAAACAAAATTTAAAAAATTTTAGAAGCAGCCAGGTGTGAGTCACCATGGCTGGCTGCTTCTAAAACTTTTTAAGACAGGGTCTCACTAAGGAATGCTCCTAAGGAATACTCCAAATAAGCACAAACCATTTTAAGTTCCAAATATATGCTCTAAATTTTCTTTTTTCTTTTTTCCTTTTTTTTTTTTGAGACAGGGTCTCACTCTGTAACCCAGACTGGAGTACAGTGGCATGATCATAGCTCACTGCATCCTCAAATTCCTGGTCTCAAGCAATCCTCCTGCCTCAGCAGGAGTCGCTGGGATTACAGGTATGAGCCACCACACTTGGCTGCTTCTAAAATTTTAAAAATTTTGTTTTCCACATCTAGGTTTCTAATTAGACAGAACTCACTTTTCCTCATTAATGAGGGTGGAATCTACTTTTATATTTTTCCCAATATGGAAAATTAATTGTCCTAGCATAACTCATTGATTACTTCTTTTCCCAATGATTTATATTGCCACCTGCGTTATATACTAAATTCCCACATGCTCTTGCATCTGATGCCAGATCTAATATTCTGTTCCACTGATTTGTCTATTCCAGTACCAAAGCCAAAGCTATTTTAATTAATATAAGTTTATTTTAAAAATAAGCTCCTGCACAGCAAAATAAACTATCTCCCATTTGTTTGTCTGTTCACTCTGTTTACACCCGACCTGAATATACAATTTTCATAAGAAGACATACATGGCTGGTGCCTGTAATCACTGCACTCTGGGAGGCCTGGCAGATCACTTGAACCCAGGAATTTGAGACTAGCTTAGACAACATAGTGAAACCCCATCTCTACAAAAATTATCTGGGCCTGGTGGCGTGGCTTATAGTCCCAGCTACTTGGGAGGCTGAGGTAGGAGGATCGCTCAAGCCCAGGAGGTTGAGGCTGCAGTGAACCGTGATCGTGCCACTGCACTCCAGCCTGAATGACAGAATGAGATCCTGTCTCAGGAAAAAAAAAAAAAAAGATGAAGAAGAAGACATACGCGCAGCCAACAAGCATATGAAAAAATGCTCAACATCGCTAATCATTAGCGAAATGCAAATCAAAACCACAATGAGATACATCTCACACCAGTCAGAATGGCTATTATTAAAAAGTCAAAAAATAACAGATGCTGGCAAGGTTGCAGAAAAAAGGGAATGCTTATACACTGTTGGTAGAATGTAAATTAGTTCAGCCATTGTGAAAACTGTTCGGTGATTTCTCAAAGAACTCACAGCAGAATTGCCATTTGGCCCAGCAATCCTATTATTGGGTATATATCCAAAGGGATATAAATTGTTCTACCATAAAGACACATGCACACGTATATTCATTGCAGCACTATTCACAATAGCAAAGACATGGAAACCAACTTAAATATGAACCGATGGTAGACCGTATAAAGAAAATGTGGTACAAGCCAAGCGCAGTGGTTCATGCTTATAATCCCAACAGTTTGGGAGGCTGAAGAGGGAGGATCACTTGAGCTGAGGAGTTCAAGAGCAGCTCTGGGTAACACGGTGAGTTACCATCTCTACAGAAACAGAAAAAATTACCTGGCATGGTGGTATGTACCTGTAGTCCTAGCTAGTCCTGAGGCTGAGGTGGGAGGATCGCTTGAGTCTGAGTTGCAGTGACCTGTGATCACACTACACTCAGCCTAGGTGACAGAGTGAGGCCTTGTCTCCAAAAAAAAAAAAAAAAAAAAAAAGTAACAGAAAATGTGGTACATATGCACCATGGAATTCTATGCAGTCATAAGAAGAATGAGATTATGCAGCAACATGGATGGAGCTGGAGGCCATAATCCTAAGTGAACTAACACAGGAACAGAAAACCAAATACCAACATGTTTCCACTTATAAGTGGGCGCTAAACACTGAGTACATATGGACAGAAAGAAGGGAACAGACACTGAGGCCTACCTGAGGGTCAGTGGAGGGAGGACGGAGAGTGTCACAAAACTACCTGTAGGGTACTGTGCTTATTATCTGGGTGGCGAAATAATATGTATATCAAACCCCCATGTCACACAATTTACCTATATAACAAACCCATACAAGTACCCCTGAGTCTAAAATAAAAGTTGTCCGGGCAGGTGGTGCACACCTGTAGTTCCAGCACTTTGGGAGGCTGAGGTGGGCAGATAACTTGAGCTCAGGAGTTTGGACCAGCCTGGGCAATGTGGCAAAATCCCATCTCTACGAAAAATAAAAAAATTAACTGGGTATGGTGGCACATGCCTGTAGTCCCAGCTACTAAGGAGGCTGAGGTGGGAGGATGGCTTAAGCCTGGGAGGTGGAGGCTGCAGTGAGCCGAGATCCCACCACTGCACTCCAGCTTGGGTGACAAAGTGAGACCCTGTCTCAAAAAATAAAATTAGTTAATTAATTAAATAAAAGTTTAAAAAATCAGGGAAATTCTCCCCAACTTGTTTTTCATTTGTAACTATTTTTGCTATATTTGAAACTTTTTCCCAACTAAATTTTTTTTAACTAAACCTTTTAAAATATATATATACCCTATAAACAGAAAAGTGCATAAAACCTAAGTATACAGTTTTATGAATTATTGGAATAAAAAAACACACAGGAGGACTTTCTCAAAGAGAATCACAAACTTGAGTAGAGGGTAGAGCTTTGCTCCAAAACTCAAGGGAACTACAATATGATTTTATTGTTTGAATTGCCACAGCATTCCAAATGCAATTCCAAATTGCCATATTCCCTCTAAATACTGTAGGATCTTCTATATAATAA